TTGAGACAGAGTCTCACTCTGTTGCCCAGGCTAGAGTGCAGTGGCACAATCTCGGCTTACCACAACCTCCGCCTCCCAGGTTCAAGTGATTCTCCTGCTTCAGCCTCCCGAGCAGCTGGGCCTACAGCGTGCACCACCACACCTGGCTAATTTTTTGTATTTTTAGTAGAGACAGCATTTCACTATGTTGGCCAGGCTGATCTCAAACTCCTGACCTCGTGATCCCCTCGCCTTGGCCTCCCAAAGTGCTGGGATTATAGGCGTGAGTCACCGCGCCTGGCCTATGATGCATTTTTAATAATACACATATAAATATTCTTCCACAGTATCCTTTTTTTGAAAAAAATTTGCATTTTTTTATTTAAAGAGACAGGTTTTACCTTGGTCAGGCTGGTTTCGAACTCCTGATCTCAGGTGATCCACCTGCCTCGGCCTCCCAAAGTGCTGGGCTTACAGGTGTGAGCCACTGCACCCAGCCTTTTTTTAAATTTTTTTTTACACAGTATCCTTTTAAAGATTTGATGGGGAGTCCAACTATCCAACTTTCTGATCTGCTTTTAGGGGACAAGCAGGCCTTCGCACTATCACGTCCTTTGGGATGACAATCGTTTCTCCTCTGATGAGCTGCAGATTCTAACCTACCAGCTGTGTCACACCTACGTGCGCTGCACACGCTCCGTGTCCATCCCGGCGCCAGCATACTACGCTCACCTGGTGGCCTTCCGGGCCAGGTACCACCTGGTGGATAAGGAACATGACAGGTAAGTGGCATGCCTGGCTGGAGGTCACGGCAGGGCTGTGCTTTTGGCACGGGTATTGGCAGCGGCTTTTCCGGAAGGCGAAGCGGCAGGGCCCCAGTGGCGGAGCCAGCACTCCAGAAGGGGTGCCCCACGCGCCATCCTGACTTAGTTATTGTTGCACCGCCTCATGGCACATTAAGGCGGCGTATTCTCATTCTCTCTCTCTCTTATCCCTGCAGTGCTGAAGGAAGCCATACCTCTGGGCAGAGTAACGGGCGAGACCACCAAGCACTGGCCAAGGCGGTCCAGGTTCACCAAGACACTCTGCGCACCATGTACTTTGCTTGACATGTTTTAGTGTTTAGCGATTGTGTATTGAGGGGGATTCACGAGACCAGCTACACTCAGACCAACAGACGGCCAGCCCTTCCGTGACAGCCAGCATCGAACATGAGACGTCATTGATTTTATTAGATTCTCCGTTTTCCAGAATGCCTTCCGTCCCAGATTTCAAACTTGGATTTTGAACTGCAGACCTGTATGAGAACCCAATGTCGTAGGAAATATGGTTTGCTAAAATCTATAAGCTGCTTACTAAAATAGAGTCCCGTGTTTCCTAAAAATCTCCTAAAACCAGTCTATGAACTCAGGGCTTTAAAACATTTTTAATTTATTTGGTCATTCAATTTACTTGTTTTTAATACATGATTCTCTATGAAATTGATGGGCTCAAACTAGCTGTGAATCTTCTGAGAGAGAAAGCAACACAAAACACAGTTGTGGTTTTAAAGCCTTGAACATTCTGATGTTGTCACTAAAGCTGATTACCAGGCGTGGCTCACCCAAGCTCCTCAGCCAAGAGCAGGTGGCCGTGCAGAGGCGTCTGCAGGTGCCGTGTTCTGCCAGCACCGCCCTTCACCCAGCCTGAACCAAGGAGCAGTGGCAGAAGGTGGGCCCCGTGTGTTTACAGCATTTCCAGGTCCAGAGAGGTTGGCAGACAAGTGCCATTTTAATAAAAATGTATTTAAAAAAAAAAAAGAAAAAAGACAATATACTGACAGTCTAATCATCAGATTTGTCCTATAGGACTGTGACATTTATTTTCCAAAGTTTCTAAAGAATACGGGTCTGTGGTGATAAATACAGTACAATCCTTTTTCACTGTCATGTCTTTAATGTAAGAGAAAAATATATATATCTGGTTTGCAGTATTAATGTGATAGATAGATGCTGTTTTTTCATTTTATTGACTATGGGGTGCTTCTGTGATCTGTTTAGCATATCAAGAGTGTTTTGGAGCCTGGGGGTGGGACCGCCTCTCAGTTCTTAGTGCTTAAGTACAGGAATATGCAATTGACTTAACGTGACAGCAGCCCACCTCCCCCCGTGGAGACTGTGCAGCCTGTACCCTCGGGAGGGGCGGGTGTGCCCTCCGCACTGCTCGCCACCCTCCCTGCCGCCTCATCCCCGTGTGTCACTCAGCTAATGAAGCACAAGTGGAAGTAATTTATTCTTGCATTGCTGGGAAACACATTCATGTGTGGGGCGCACTCCTCTCCCCGCTCTGTGTGCGCTTTTGTCAGATGAGGTTCATAGATGTATGCACTGAGATTCATAGAAAGCTATTGGTGGTGGCTCTGCTGGGTGTGAGGCCGTTGGTCACAGTGAAGGAGCCTGCCTGGCCCTGGGAGGCCCGAGGATGGCAAGGCCAGCAGAGGGCACGGGGCATTCTGCTGGGGTTTGCATTGGGGGCCCCAGACGTGGGTGTGCCAATTTAGAAACCGTTGCACTAAGAGTGACACCACGGACGGTTTTGAAGGCTAAGAACAGACGGCTGTTTGTGCTAAGTGGGCTTTTTGTCTCTGTACAGCTTCAGTAAGACTCCAATCCATGTTCCATTAGAGGCGTCAGGAAGGAGGCGAGCCTCCCCTAGTGCTGCTCTGCGCTCCATAGGTCCCCTCTTCCTGCTGCTGTCCCCTCCCCGGCCCTGCGTGACACTTACCTCGGCACTGCGGTGGGGTGGGGTGCCAAAGGAGCTGCTTGCTTTTGAGCGGCACCCCCTCCGCCTTCGTGCTCAGCTGCTTCGGAGGTGGCGGGAGGGGTGGCGAGCCACGGGTTGGGGGGTCCCCGGAGCCTCGCCTGGATGTTGGCGGCAATGACAAAGGGATGACTATTATTTGTGAAGATGTGTCCTCAGAGTGGTGTGTGTGTCCCTGTGTGTGTGTGTGTGTGTGTCCCTGTGTGTGTGTGTGTCTTATTAACGGCATTAGTCTCTTTTGGCTGTATCTTTTTTTTTTTTTTTTTTTTTTTTAAATGACAGAAGCCCCCACCCTAAGAAGCCGCAATTCCCTGTTGTTTTGTAGGCCAGGGCACTTTCTCCTGTTTTCAGAAGGAGACAGAGACGCTCGCAGCTTAAATTAACAGATGCATTCAAGCTAAGGGGGAATCTTTTGACTAATAAACTTTTCACATCTGAAATTAGATTAGTTTCCAGCCATTTTTAGAATTATCTGGAACCATGTGTCTCAAAGGTGTGTTTCTTCCACCCGCATCAGGCTCTCTGTCTGGGGGATGGTGGTGGTTCTTGTTTATAATGCAGATTTGTGGGCCTGCTCCTACCTCCTGAGGAGGTACTTCATGGCTGGCCTGGCATCTGCCTCTAAGTGATGGCCACGGCCCTGGGCTCCCTGGGGCCTGAGGACCCAGCCCTGGCAACCCCCAGCAGGGAGGGGATACTTCCTGAGTGGGTGCATGGGACAGACTGAGCTGGCAGAAAAGTAGAACTACAATTTTTTTCTTAAATCCTTTTGAAGCAAAGTTTTCTTTTAGTGGGTCAAAGTACTTTGAGAAGGGTACTTCTTATAGCCCTGCGCCTGTTTTATAAAACTTATAATACTAAAAACATGAATAGACCAAACATCTCCAGCTGGGTTGGCTGCACACCTTTGTACATGTCTGATGATTCAGAGTTTAAATGGCTGTAGTTACAATTTCTCAGGTAAACAGTTGTTTTCTCAAATTTCTAGCAATCCCTGCATCATTAGGCTAAATTTTGAGACAGTGTACAACCTCAGAGTACATTAGGGTAGGTCCCAGCCCTATTCACGTGGAAGCCAGAGGCGGCCCCTTCCCCAGCGTCTGAGCAACTGATTGTACAGGTGCCTGGGGCCTCCTCCTTCCCTGTCCACGGCTGTCCTCCCCAAAATACCCGGGCCTGTTCAGATTTGAGGGGTGCCCACTCGCTGGCTTTGTCCCCATCCCACTAAGTAAGGTGTGCCTTGCTTTAAGCAAACTGAATGTTAAAATAACGACGTAGAAGTCTGGGTTTGTTTAAAAGAAAAACTGGGATTTTATCTCATCTCTTTAAAAGAGGTCTCCCAATTTGATTCCTGTACTGGGACTTCTTCCTGGTATATTTTTACATGTTCACTTTTTGAAAGCATTAACATACTCCCATCCTTTTGCCCCTAACCTGTCCCATTTGACAAGTTCTTGCTGTAACGGCAAAGCAGTTAATGGACACGAACACCCGGCGAGCCGTGGAAAGCTGCCCTCAGGGGAGAGATCTTCGGTGGTGGGAAGCCACCAACCTGTTGTTTGTGTACCCCAAGCTCAGATTTTCCTGGTTTGGAGAGATTTTGTAAAACTGGGCATGCATAGCTGTACTTCTAGAAGGGGATTATTTTCCGTAGGGTTTGGTTTTCTCTGGTTCAAGCCGTCTTCACATGGAGAATTTTGATAGCACGTTAGGGTCTGCCCGTTGAAGATGATGATGCTTTTCAGTGGTGGTCTCACACTCCTTTGAATGAACGTTTGCACTCTAGAATCACAAACGATGCGTGGCCATTGTCCAGCTTGCCCGAGAGGGAGCTGTAGGGAGCAGGCAGTGACCGCCGCGTTGTTTGTCAGAGGCTGACCTAAACTGCTATCACTAATGTTTACCCCAGTGACTGCGCGTTAGAACAGGTCATGTCAGTTCACTTCCTGGAGCGGGGTTAGTGGCTGGGGTTTTTATTGTTGTTATTTGTTACTTTTATTGCTGTTAAATGCAAGTGTTGCTATTTATTTTTTTCTTTCTGCTCGGATTTGGTTTGGTTTGGCCAACACAGATATTCCAATGCATGTGGTACCTAATGGATATGATAGGAATTACTTCCCCAATTTTTATAAATTACCTAATGTTTACCTTCAAGTTTGCTGGATGATTTATTTTTGAAAGCCACAAATGTGATTTTTCTGGATGAATTGTTTTTTTTATATATGCAGCCGTGTAATTTTACATTGGTCTGCAGGGTGGTTTAAATTTTATTTTTACAAGGCAGTTTTTCAGTCAAATTATATATTTGATACAATATGCTAAGGATTGACTGACCCTGAGTCAGGTGGCCGGACACCGGCATGTCCCCGGGAGGCCTTGGGGCTGGGGCGGCTTCTTGGCTGCTCGTGCTGGTGGCTGGTGGCTTGTTCCCTGCGCCTCTGGGAACTGGGTGTGTCCTTCAGCAGGACCGTGACCCGCTGGGCAGTCAAAAGGATTTTTCATGGGCATTTTCATACACATAAGGCAGTTCCATTAGCAGGAGCTTTAGAAGTTGACATAATCCAGACAGTGGACAATCCCAGTGGCCCAGACAAGCCATACGACATTCTCCTGTGACCTCTCTCTGACCCATCTCTCACGCTCATGAGAAAAGGAATGTACAATAAATAGAAACAGAAACTTCCTCAGTGCTCATGCGCCTCACTTGCAGAACGCGAGTATTTTATTTATGTTTGAAGCCCTTCCCCAAAGTGACTGAGAAGTTGTGCTCTAGCTGCCGCGCCAGCAGTTTCGTCTGCTGTGACGCTTTTCGGTGTAGATGCAGTGCACATGTGACTTTGTCATGCGGGTGCCCCTGTTACACACACACACATGCTGACTCTCTTTTGTAAGGAAAATCTTCAACTCAAAATAATTGCACTGATTTTTTGACAACTTCTTTATACGATGTCCAGCTTCGCATCTGCTGTACTTGTTTGAGATGATTGTAAATAGATTTCTGGTAGAAGTGATATGAATACACACGGGGCTCTGTTGTGGAGACACTGCCTCGTATTCAGTATTATGTGTTAGAGTTGTGTGGACTTAACTTTGTTCCGCCCATGAGCTTTGTGTCTGTTGACCATTGATGAAGGACAAATACGCCTCGTTTTCTTTTTCTTCTGAAGGGAAGTTTTAGGTCTGTTACTGGGAGAACATGGTCTCTTGATGCCTGATGGTTTAGTCCTAGGCGGGCTCGTTGCAGTCTTGTGAATGCTGTTTTGATCTGTTTGATTCCTCGTCGCTTGCCATGGCTCTCCAATGCGTGGTCTCCGAGTTCTACCCAGCGCTGGGCAGTCCGGACGGGAGGCACCTGTTGTGCCTGCTGCTAGAACGCGAGGGCCTCCTTTGCCTCTCTGTGGTCAGAGTCATTTTTAAGCCATGAGGTCACTGTCGTGTCAAAGCCATCATTTGTGCCGGTCGTGTTGCCAGAGTAGCAGCATGTGCCGTAGCCCCCGTGTGTCACTCTGTGGTCAGGCTACCCTGTGTCAGACCTAGCAAGGAGTTTTTCAGCCCACACCAGTCTGTGCGTGTGTCCAAGTCACACCAGTGCCATTACGGTGCCCTCACTTATGCTTCTTTGGATGTGTTTTGCCATGTTATTGTCTAAAGTGAATGTATTGGCTTAGCCAAATTACTACAGAAGGTGGTTCCTAAATACCTTTTAGTTAAAAAAAAAAAAAAAATGCAGTTAAAGGCTACCTCTGAATTCCCAGTAGATTCATCATGTTTGCTCTTAAGTGTAGCTGTCCACACTGAAAACAGCCAAGACGTTGCCTGAATAAACTGAATTGTGAACATCTATCTGTTCAGTTCTGGCTTGAAAATGTGTGTGCCATACTGTGACCCACAGGCAGCCCCCTCCTCCTCTGCTGGGTCAGGTGGGCCAGGGTCGCCTCCGTGCCTCGCAGCTCTGAGATGCTAGGATTCTCCGGTCGGCAGGAACAGCATGGGAGGGCTCTCTGCACGGGACAGCGTGCTGTCCTTCATGCTGGCGGGAGCATCTGCGCAGGGCTGCGCGTGGCAAAACCTTGAGATAGCCTATGTCCTACCCGGCTTTCCACTTTCCTGTTTAATATAAGAAAGCACTTTTTTTTCTGCTTTACCTACAAATGGATTGCGAATGGCCTCCTCTATCCTGTCCTCCCTTTTATACGCTCTGTAAAATCACGAAGGTGCTTCAACACCAACTCTCATGCAAGTAATAGATTTAAAATAGTTGCATGGTTTCAAGGACGATGCAGATGCCATTGGCCTTTGACTTTGGGACCTTGGGTTACTCTCACTCTCTACTGCAAAACAAACTAAGGGTTGAAAGCAAAGTCTTCTGTTCTAATCCAGGGTCCTTTGTTTGAAAAGAACTCAGGGCCCACAGCTGGTGTTTGAAGTTTTTGCACAGCTCACTTGGAGGAAGTCAGTTCTGGGAGCGCGGTTGGCTCTGAACACCCCTCCCCATGATTAACCACTTTGCTGTCAGAAATGTCATTTCCCCCTACACTGTGCTGCGGACCCGGGCCTCTTTCGCTTCTTGCTTTGGGTTCCCTGTGATCCCCCATCTTCAGGTGAGCGCTCGCTGCAAAACATCTCCATCAGTTTACTCCTGAGTTGACAGGCGATGGTCTCACAGTTGGAGGCGCCTGGGTGTTTGGAGGGGGCCCCCCCGCCCTCATGTTGGGGGCTCAGCAGACATTGAATTTGGCCCTGGGGGTTCACAGTCATTACCTGGAAGCGGTTGCCTTTAACGCTGCTGTTCTGGGTTTCATGCTTTCTACGCTGTGTTGAGCGCTTGAATTCCGGAAGAGCTAAGTGTCCTTTGCAGTCTCTCAGAATGTTTTGTCATTCTGCCACCACACTGTTCCATGTGAACAGACCTCGAGAGGCTTGGGCACTCGGGGTGGGGGGTGGGTGTCCCACTGCCTGCCGCCCTGGGTATTGGCTGCTCGTTTCCACTGGGCTGGCCTCGGGCTTTCTGCCCGAATCTGGTCCAGGGTGTTTGGGGAGACTGCAGCGGCTCGCTCCTCGACTTGGTCATGGAGCTGTGGCTTGCAGATCCACCGCAAGCTTCCCTCACCTGCGTCTCCCACCGTCTCAGCGTTCCTAAGAATTTACTCAGAAGTGAGAGAACTGAGGATTCCTGGTGCTTTTGTTAACACGTTTCTATCTTACTGGTTGGTGTGGAAATTTTAGATGTGTTGTTAGGTCTTTAAATGCCGCGGGTGGTATGACTAGAGGGTTAAGTCCTCACCTCACCCCCCCAACTCCCTTTTGGGGGGGTAGGAAGAGGCTGAATTATCTCCTATTTAAAACCACCTTGGATTTAAGTAGTTCAGAGTTAAAGCTAAAACACCAAATATTAACTCTTTCCCCCAAGTGTCTCCAGGAAATGGACATTGGGGCCATTCTTATTCAGTTCTTTCTGCAGCTTCAAGGTCCTTAAAATGAGTGAGTTGATCCCAAGAACACCCCATGCCACCGGCCAGCGGGGCGCCATGCAGGCGACTTCATAGATCAGGTGCTCGTGTAGGGGTCCAGGGCTCCTTTGAACTCTGGGAGTTGTGTGTGCAGTCTTGGGTGGGAGAGGGCAGGCCCCTCTGTCCCAAGAGGCCGGTGGTGCCCAGGCCTTCCTCTGGTCTCCACCAGCGCCAGCCTGATCGCGTTCTGGAAGACCCAGTCTTAGACTCTGTGCCTTTAAAGTCCGGTCCTCAGTGTCCTTTCAGAATCATGTGGGGCTGCGTTTCTCTGGGGAACTAAGCCAGTGCCATTCCACAAGGCAGGCATGGACCTCCAGCCTTGGAAGCTTTCTTTCCGCTCCTCAGCCCCTGACTTGTAAACTGTGATGCCACGTGGTCTGGAGCCACGGAGGATGCACTTGGTCTCGGAAAACACTTGGTTCCAGTCGCGTGGTTTCTCCCATACCCTGACCAAGTCCCCCTCTGCCAGGATCGCGGGAGATTGGTGCAAGACCCATCTCTTAGGCGTTGACCATGACCATCAGCAAAGCCTGGTGGTCTTGTTCTCATAGTCACTTGACAAGAGTATTTATTGTAATGGAAGTAGGTTTTTTTTTTAAAAGGAATTGGAATCATGTCTTTGTAGAATGTGTGTGAAGTCCTCCGCTGTAAGGTGCTATTCAGTCCTGTGACCCTCATTTTGGAACGCTCTTCATTGCTGCTGCTCTGTTTTGTGGCTTCCTAGGAAACCGCTTACTTAGGTGTGCTGTCACCTTGAACTGTGCACGTGGGACACGAGTTTTGACTTACCCGACAGGCAATTTTTATCTCTAGCTTTTTCAAGCCAGGTATTGAGCAGTTTCTTGGCCAGTGGCCTAATGAGAAGCCACCTTTCCCTGTCAAGGGGTGATTTTATTGGTTTTAAGCGGGGAAGTAATCCCATGTCCTTTTTTTTTGTTTTGAAACAGAGTTTCGCTCTGTCACCAGGCTGGAGTGCAGTGGTGCCATCTCGGCTCACTGTAACCTCTGTCTCCTGTGTTCAAGCGATTCTCCTGCCTCAGCCTCCCTAGTAGCTGGGACTACAGGCGCACGCCACCATGCCAGGCTAATTTTTGTATTTTTAGTAGAGACGGGGTTTCACCACCTTGACCAGGATGGTCTCGATCTCTTGATCTCGTGATCTGCCCACCTCAGCCTCGCAAAGTGCTGAGAATACAGGCGTGAGCCACCGCGCCTGGCCACTTATTTCTTAAATACCTAACAAGTTCTTCTTGGTGGTTCCTCTTGGCTCTCTCCTCTTTCTCCCCCAACCCTACATCCTTTCGAGGAATGGCCTCTCCCTCCGCAGAGGCACAGGCTGCAGAGGGAGCGCTGTGGCGGCGATTCCAATTCCTCTTTAAAGCCAAACAAACATGCGCGACTGAAACCCTAGTGTGGAGGGTGGCGTGGCGTTGAAATTCCAGGCCTGAGTTTGATAGTGGATTTTAATGTAGTTGTTAAAGGTATGAATTCATGTTTTATAACTGTAGAGGCAAGCAAGTTTTTATTTTTAAAAAAGTTTTGAGAGAATAATTTATAAGTTTCTGTGCAGCAAAGTGGCTAATTACTCATTAAATACAGGAAAAGAATGTAGTATCTAAATCCAGCTTTTTCTTACCTCTGGTACACTTCAGATTACTTACCTAATACATATTGAGGGGTTTTAACCCTTAGTTTTATCAATTTTTCTAGTTTTATTTTATTTTTATAAAATAATTGAAAAAGAACCAAAAATGAATTCAAAAGTTCCATAGATGGATTTTTGCCCCTTCTTAATTTTCTCCCACAGTAAAAACACTTTAGAAGACATTTTGAATCAAAATGTATAATGACCAGTTCACTATTTTCTAAGAAGCTGAGCAGCTCTAGGGCCTCGTTTCAGGTGGTACTCTATGTGTTGTCCACGGGCTTGTTTCTCCCTGTACGGTGGAACTGTTGACCATGTCTTGTGCTTGCAATATAGAAACCATGCAGTGCTGTTTTGTAAATTGACAGTTTCTGTATAAACTCTTATTTATATACATTGGCCTCTCTGTATGATTTTCCATTTGCTACATGAATTGTAAAATTAATTATAAAATTATAGTACCTGCTAAATACAATTCTGAGGCTTCATGTCATTGTCTTTAGTTGAATACCATGTTGTGTGTCTTGAAGATGTCCATGCTTGCATGATACTAGGTGGCGAAGCCACTTTAAATTAAGCCTTAATCAGATGTTAAATTTGTGAGTTTCAGAGTATGCAAAAATATTAGGCAGAGTGAGTGTAAACTGTTCAGATCGAGATGCTGTATCATAATTCAAGTTATTTTTTCTGGAGTTAAAAAGGGAAGTATTCGGTGATACACCTCTCTGTCTCTTTCTCTCTCTCTCTGTCTCTGTCTCTCTCTCTCTCTCTCGTCTAGCTTGGCTATTGCCATAGCTTGATGAAAATGGACCATTGCGCATTTCTGTGACAGTCAGTCAAAAAGACCTGTTCTGAAAGTCTTGTGACTTTTTCAGGGTTTTTTTTTTTTTTTTCTCATGTTTGATTGTTTTTTTCCCCTTCCAGTCTGAGATTTCTGTATGGCTGATGGAGAGTGCAATTTGGGCGTAGGTCTTATTTGCAAACCTGCTCATGTTCTAAGCTTTCTTCAGGTAGTACCACCTGTCATTTCTTCTGCATATGATTTAAATGGATTTTTGTTTTCATAAAAGCATCATAAATTTAGAGATAAAATGGAAGGGACCCAGCTTTCTTTACAATGTGGATCTACCTCAGTTAAACAGTTGGGTGCTATTACTAAGTCTGTCAAATTAAATTGGAAAAAGTAACCAAAACAGTGAGATACAACTCCACATGAAACTTGAAATTGTAATTTCCGTTTATTTAATGATATTTTTATTTATTTGTGCCTTTTATGTTGAACCCCCATGCATTGAAAAAAATCAGTATGAGACTACATATTTTATATTCCAGGTGGGGAGAAAAGTCCAATTGGTCGTGGAATTTGATAGACTTTCCCCCAGCCAACTGCCACAGTGTATTAGAATCCCGACTGCCCCCCGTGAAAAGAAAAAAAAATGTCCAAGAGCAAATCTTCACATTTTACAAACAATAAAGTCCAAACTCCTCTATGCACATATTTACAGCTCATCACTTCATTTTCTGTGCCAGTGGAGGGGTGGCCAGAAAAATTCCCAAGTACGCTCATCATTGCTTTTCTGGCCATTCATACACCCTCTTCCTCTGGCACATTTTATAAGAGTTTATTTCATAAGCAGCAAACGGACTGTTGTCGATTTCATCTCTCCTGACCTACCTGGTGGAGGTGCTAATGACCATGGACAGAAAGGGGCGAGCCAGAGCTCATGGCTTTGTGGAGGCGGAGGCCTGCATTCAGCAGTGGCCCATGTGCCTGTGAGTTGGGAAGGCTTTCTGACAGGTAAGAAATTGAGATAGGGTGATGACTTACCATGCTTTTGTATTTGGCAGTTTACAATTCTAGAACTTTTCCTACTATGGCGATCTTTTTTTACTTAATTCTTTGGAGGTAACAATATTTTGGAGTCTTAAGAATTTGATTTTATACCAATAAGAAATACAAATTAGGGATCTTTCCTGTAGTACATAGTTTCACTATTTTAAAGAGATCTCTGAATTTTACAAGAGAACCAACATTCCTTACTGGCAGAACTTTGAAAGTTGATTTGGGAGGCTTGTTGCTGCAGGATCTCAAAAATAGAGAGAGATGATTCTACTTAAATGTTTTTAATTTTCTAACTTCCATCAGGTTGATACTTAAGCTCTATTTTGTAAAGAGTAAATCATCCTTTAGTATGCTGCATAAGATGATCAGCATTCTTGCACTTTCTCAGTAATAAGGCGTGCCCTGCAATTGGCCCCCCAGGACGCATTGTGTTTTTAACCTAACGAGAGGACTTTGGGGCAGGTGATTAAATTTATATAGGTACCTCAAGAAAAAGAACCTGAATATGCTGCATTTTCTTTCTTTAGCTTCTACATGTAGCATTTTGTTTTGCTTTTGTTATTTTTGTTTAGATATATGCTTTTTGGACCCCAATAGACTGTTGAAAGAAATTTAAAAATTACTCTTGTAGAGATATAGTATCCTTAAAAAATAAACTAAAAAAAAACAAAAATTAAAAAATTAAACTTGCTGCAATATCTGGCTCGAAGGTTGCCCTGTATTAGAATAACACTTTAGCCGCATACACCTGAGGAGACGGATACTATGTGGATAAGCAGACAATAATGTTCTGAATCCTTTCTGTTCATGCTGCTTTCTTAATTCGTTTCTCCATGTCATCAAGAGGTTGGATAACTTATTTCTAAGGTCAAGGTTAAAAATCATGTCACTTTTTTTTTTTTCTTTTCAACACAGACCTCAGAAAAGTTGTGATTGAGGAAGTAGCATGATCCTAAATGTGTTGCTGAAATCAGGCAGCCCGAGCCTCTGGTCTCTCCAGAGAGCCCGTCTTCACATTTCTCTATTCCTCAGCACTCACCCTAAACTGAACAGATGGGGAGTTGTCTTGATTGTCAAGATAGAACTGGTGAAGAAAGCTACATGCTGAGAAACTGAGCATCTATTGTCATGTTTAAGCTTAGCTGGGTCCTTTCTAGTTTGTTTTTACAGCTTACTAGGTGAAGTAGTTTGCACTATTTTTGCAATAAATTCATGGAAACCCTAACAAACAGTGACTTGTTCTGTTTCTTACTGTGTGTATATAAACTAATACTAAAAGTTTGGCATAGTGTTTTTTTCACCTCCTTACATAACCCCTAACATGCACAGAATGCTGTAAATCTGATAAAATATGTGAATGATATTTTATAAAGTTATTTTGTATGGTGTCAATTTTGTTTTGCCTCATAGTATGTCAGCAAAAAATTAAATAAAAGTCCTCCTGTTTACAGCTGCCTCTTCCAAACCTCTTCAATTCCTCACGGACTTCCTCTGCACAGGTTATGATTCCGGTTTCCGAAGCAGAAGCATTCCTTAAGGGTGGAAGTCCAGAGCCCTGTCCTTGAAGAATGTACTTGGCAGAGCTGGGCACTACCCGACGATTTGGGTTTGGGGGATGAAAACCACAGGTATGAGTTGAACAAGAGTGGGAAGAGCCACGGTAGCTAGGATAGCTGGCTGTTTCTGCTCTTGCAGCATGAGAAAGGATGAAGTAAGAAGTCGCTCAGCTAAGCCCATCATGAGCAAGGCCCTGTAATCCCAGCTGCTCGGGAGGCTGAGACAGGAGAACTCCTTGAACCCAGGCGGCAGTGGGCAGAGGGTGCAGTGAGCCAAGATCAGGCCACTGCACTCCAGCCTGGGCAAGAAGGTGAGACTCCATCTCAAAAAAAAAAAAAAAAAAAAAAAAACTTCAGGCCAGGCACGGCAGCTCACACCTATAACCCCAGCACTTTCAGAGGCTGAATTAATTAGGTGTTATCACTTGAGGTCAGAAGTTTGAGACCAGCCTGCCAACAGGGTGAAAGCCTGTCTCTACTAAAAATACAAAAATTAGCCAGGCGTGGCGCACACCTGTAATCCCAGCTACTTGAGAGGCAGGAGAATCA